CATGTGGCACTGCCATTACCATTCATGTTGCCATTTACATTGTTGTGGCTACAACTGCTATCTGATGTTATTATTTTGAAGTTATCGTAATCTTCGAAAGGATCATCGATTTTGTGTTTGTGCTGTGAACTGGCGTCATCAGAATCAGCGCTGAGGCGGCCGTACGCCTTGCGAGGTGGACGTTTTACATATTTATCTGTAAGTTAAAAAATGCTAATATAGATTTTTATAGATTTGTTGGTAGGTAAATTTACATTTGCATAGATAAGACTAGTCAAAAAATATGTATAATTGAAAAATTTTGTAAGTTACATTGAGGAATACCGAAATACAACAGGAGAATCCGTAGCACCATTAGTTATAATAAAAGTAAAAGATACGGAGAACAGATCTTTCTGTTTCCAAAGACTTTCGATTACACAGTGCAACACTTAAAAAGTGATGGGAATGAGACCAATTGCATGTTTTAAAAGAGATCAAAATATTAACAAATATCAAAGCATTTGCAAAAGTTGGTACCCATTTCCTTTTTATCTCGATTTCATGTTACTAATTGCAGGTTCAAAAATAAACAAGTTCTATGATTTTCTCTTTTTGGTTTTGCTCACAAATTTCATACCAACATGCACCTACATATATATATAGTTACTATATGGGTGTTTCCAGCGGAAGGTCCACCACGACAAAAAAAAATAAATGTTTTATATCTAACGTATTTACGGGCCGATTTGTCTGCTTTTTAAAATATATACTGGCTATGTAAGTAGAATCATGTTTGCACAAAATGGTCTTCCTAGGTGGTGCCAAAGTCGAGATATTTCTATGGTCCGATTTGGTTCGAATTTGGCGTATGTGGTTGAAACATAATAAATCATAGAATTCTAATAAATTGACCCTGAATTGGCGCTGAAGTCAAAATATAAAGTATATTCTACATAAAATACATGTTTTATTTGCGTTGAAAATTCATTTAAAAGCAATATTAACAAAAATATAACGATGGAAATTTATGTCACGTCACGCCACGTCACGTCACGTTTCACACTTGGGGTTGTAAAAGAGAATTGAAACAATTTGCATTAATTCAAAAAACTCTAAAAACAACTAGAATTGCTCCATATCATATTAAAATAAGTTTCATGAAAATAGCCATCCACAATTCGCAGAGTTTTGCGATTTTGTAAGAAAAGAAAAAATCAACTCCCATTTTTTGTGACGTAACGAACCTCTCTTTAAATGCTTATATTTCAGGACCAAGCAGTTCGATTGATTTCATTTTTCGGTTAAATATAGAGCTAATTATGTGCTATACAATGGCCCAAAAAAGTTAAAGAAAACAAATGGTATTCCTTTTTTGTATCACATTGAAATCGTACGACTGTCACGTGCGCCACCATGGGAATGCCCATATACATATATACATATATATTCATATAATAAAAAAAATTTCAGTTGAACATTGAGCCGTGCCAAAAACTCCTCCCATGGCCTCATCTTCCCGCTCCGTCAACTTTGCAAAATGTGTTTTTAAATTATATGTTCTTGTTGGGATCTTATTTTCCAACTTTATATTAAGATACAAAAGAAATGGTAACCAACTTTTTCCAGTTCTTTGGTATTTTTTCATTATTTGGCCAGCTTAATCAAATGCTGTTGGTCCGATTCCCATCACCTAAATCTTTTGGAATTTTGTTGCGCAGTGTTATTAATAATAAGCGAGAACTATAAGATAGTATAGGTTCGGAAAATTTAAGTTGCTTAAAGTGAACTATAAGAAGACTCTTTGATCACGTTCAATTGATTTATCATTATAGTTTTTATGACAGGGCCTCCAAATAATTGCAACATATTCTAAATTGGAGCAAGCAAAAGAGTCAGAAAATTGTTTGCTGTTTCACCTCACAACGGGAAATTTCCAAAAAAGATCCGCTCTTGGTATTGTGTGTCTACTTCCGGAACAATTTTGTGCTAATTGAAATTTTGTCGCTGAACCCATATCTGAAAAATACGCACATCATTTTAAAATACATCTCTTGTCCTTTCACAAGCCAGACAGTGTGGTTTTTGAGCACTGCATGCGAATTAATCGTAGCGCTTTCAACAGCAGCAGCATTTTGATACGAAACAAAATGGTTTTGAAAGCAAAAGTGAATCGCTTTCACGAAAAAATATTACCATTGAGCCACAATTACCCCCTGACCTTTCAAAAAATTGGTCAAAAGTAGTGTTATTAGAAAAAAACATGCAAAATCCACGTTATTTATTCCGAAACAAAAAATTTTTGTAGTTTTTATTATACTAGTATTATAGATTTTGAAACGAGCAACACGAAAAAAAATTTAACATCTTAATTTAAAAAATGCATTATTTATTGCATTTTTTTCTATTTGCATGCAGCTGTGCATCTTTCGCTCAATTTTATATCTCTCAAACGATAAGTGCAATTCAAGACCTTTAATTTGAGCCAAGATAAGAAGCCTCTTGGCCCTCTGAGAGCCAAGTTATAACAACTCCAAACGAAACTTCGAAACTGCTATACTAGTTTTATTCCGAAATTAGAAAAAAAAATTGCACTAAATGTGGAATGAAATTTCGAAGTTTAACTTCAGAATCGTAATAATTTAGCTCTCAACGGGCCTAGAGACTTCCACCTTGGCTTAAATTAAAAATCTTGAATATCACTAAAACTAGCTTATTTTTCGAAGATATAAAATTATGTGAAAAATGAACAGCTGCATGGAAATTATAAAAAAATGCAATATATAATGCATTTTTCAAATTGAGAGACAGCTGCGAAATTTAAAGGTAGAATACGTGATATGGTTAATAGCGCATGCAAGTCAAAAACGAAAGCATACACTAAGAAAAAAATATCGATAATAATATCGATAGCACAATTGATAAAAAATCGATAAAAATATCAATAACGAAATCGATAATAAAATCGATAGAAGTAACGACAACAAACTCGATTACAAAATTTGTAAAAAATATTACAAAATCGATAAAAAATCTATTAAATATCTATAAAAAAAATCGATAAAATATATCATTTATAATATCGATAAAAATTTCGATAACAAAATCGATAAGAATTTCGATAACAAAACCGATGAAATATCGACTATAATATCGATAAGTCTCGAAAATCTCTAAAATCCCGAAATAGTCCCCAAATTGAGTCCCTGTGTCTCTATTTATATCCTTTTCTCTATAATTACCATTATTTTAATCTTTTTGCCTCTATCTTCATCTTTACTTTTATCGGTAACATCATCCTCATCATTTTCTTTATATGTATTTATCTTCATTTTTACTTTTATGTTTATCATATTCTTCATCTACATATTCCCCTTCAACTTTGCCCTACCATAGTTTTTGGTTTTATCTTTACGCATATTTGTTTTAGTTTTTATTTTTATTTTTACCTTTGCCTTTATCCTTTTCTTTATCTATGTACATACTCACCTTTACTTTCATTCCTTTATTGTTCTTTTTCTAAGTGCTATTCTTTAACCTTTTATTAGCAAGTTTTTGCTAAATTAATTTCATGCGCATACACTCAAGAAGCGCTAAAGAAGTTTCATTTCGAAAAGTTTTCGCGTGTTATGCATACATGGGCTCATATATTTACATATATAATATGTATGTACATTAGACTGCTTCACCAAAAAAAAGTTGTGGCGGTTTTCCGCCCGGACTACAAAATCTATTATATTTTAAGACGTCCACTGAAATATTTCGGAAAAATATTAAGATTTAAATAAGTGAGCTGGACCGATTTGAAGATATCTCTAAAAATGGAGTTTTTTATGAATAAAAATAGTTTCTTAAAGAACTTTTTGAAAAAAGTCTCCTCAGATGACAAATCCGATTATGCTTAAAAAATCTGCATAAAAATAGTCGTCATCGATTCGCCAACAGTTAGCGAGTGGCGAAACGAACGAACTCAATGAGGTACAACCAAACTCGCTATCGTCTAAGCTAGCTAGCTAACTTTGTTGTTGCTTTCACATGCAAAATTCTTCTTTAAGCGACCGGAACTCAAACATAGCAAGCAGCGAAGTGGCGAATCGATGACGGCTAACATGTAACAATATTTTCAACGGAATCATAATAATGAGATTTTTGATGCTGTTTTTTAATATTTCCGAAAATTGATGTACGAAAAACTTGAATGACTGGGCCATAACTATTCTGATTTAGACTTATGGGATCTCGGTAGAAAGGTATTTTTACACTGTTTTGGTTTCTGGCCAAAGAAAGTAGTTCGTGTCCCTTTTTTTCAAATACCAACACATCTTAACACAACTTTGAACGACGTTCGCTCATCCTACCTTTCTCTTTCACCCTTTCAGCTTATTAGCAAAGAAATGAAAAGGGTGAGAAAATACCTTTCCAATGACACCTCTTAAGTCTAAATCGGAAGAGTTTAGGTTCAGTTATTCAAGTTTTTCTTTGAAAAAAGTTAAAAACCAGCATCAGAAATCTCGTTATTACGATTCCATTCAAAATATTTTTTATTTTGTAGGATTTTTAAAAAAAGTCTTTAAGAAACTATTTTTATTCATAGAAAAACTCCATTTTTGGAGTAATTTTCAAATCGCTCCAGCTCACCTAAATCTTAATATTTTTTCGAAATATTTTGGTGGACATCTTAAAATATAATACATTTTATAATTCCAATGAAAAAATAATACCGATCTTTTTTGTATGGGGAGTGATGCAATCTAATGCATATGTATATACATAGACTACCAAAAGAGGAACAGATCCCCATTAACTGCAATCAACATATGTATGTACGTATGCATGTATTTACGCTGCGCTTTAAGCATAGCCTCCATATCGAAGCGTAAGACGTATTCTATGTCAAAAGCGAGGGAAGCGGCAATAATATAGATGATATGAATCAGAAATCGTAAGTTCCGTTGAGAACTTCCCTTTAGGGAATGTTGCACAAGCCTTTATTTATTGTGGCAGGTATTTGTTGCCTTAATTTTCCACAATCGCGAACATCAAAAATTTCGTAAATGTGAACTGCTGTGCTTGGTTCACGTTTTGACGAGCGCACTGTACGTGTTCATATATGTGCCCTATTTACATGAGTTTTTTTGGTTATACATAAAAATCAATTTAGCTGAGTACAGCAAACTAGGGTCAAAAGGGTAGAAATGGGTTTGACATTTGAAATTTGATTTAAATCTTGATTTAGGTAAATGCAATATGGTGAATAAATTCACAAGCGCGCAAGAATTGCTAAGCGATTTTGTGTCTGGAACTTTTATACACATGCATAGATACATGTTTGCAATAGGATGCGCAAACAATTTGTTTTTTGCGCTCTCTACGAAGTTCACTTTATTATATAAATCAATTGATTATTTCGCAATCTGGTATTTGTGCGATTTTATTAACAGGTTTCGCATATGTAGGTTGCACATTTTACGAAAGATTTATACATATTTTCCAGATACTCTGACTCCTGCACGCACAATGAGTTTAGTGCTGCAGAGCAGAGATGACCGCTGGTCTAAATACTTAGTCCATATCCCTCCCAGCTTTTAGTTCCCGAACCCATCTATTTTGACGTTTTTCAGATTTATACCCTGGGTTCCGTGAGTTCCAAAATCTATCATCAAATAAAATTACATAGCTTTAAAATAAAATTTAGATAATATTGGGTATACCAAAAAGTTGTAAAGGGCTGTCAGCACTGTCGATGCACTACGCCCTTACGGGACTACGGTACACTTCAGTTGAAGGTATTAAAAATTTCCCTGATACTTTCTTGGTATCCGAAGACGACCAGTTTTATTGGCGCCTTGTCAGTAAAGTGGAAAAAATGCATATCTAACTAGCGATGATCAATACTTGCAAGAAAATACATTGGAAAATGCACAAATTATTACGTTCGCGTGAACTGACTGCTTGGTGTTGTTTTTGGTCAGGTGGAATAATTGACCCGTACTTGTTCCAAAATGAATCTGGTGATACCGTCTCTGCCAATGAAGAGCGCTAATGATCAATTATAACACATTTTTATGATTGCAATTGGGAAATATTAGTTTTGACGATATCTGCTTTCAACTAAACGGAGCTACCTGCCACAGCGCACTGAAACGAAAACTTGTAGTTAAAATAAAATATCTCCTATTAGAATTACCTGTGTTGCGTTATATTTTTAAATTTAAGGTAAATACATATATTTAAAGGGACATTTTGGAAAATGTTGTAACCAAATATTCAAGGACACTTGCAGGTTGATAAATAAAATTCTACAAAAAATTGTTGAATATTATCTTTAAACTTACCGCAACCTTAACCTTGACATAAACCTAAACCTTGACCTTAACCTCAACCTTGTCCTTAACTGTTCTCTTGAAATATTTGTATTTACTTCTTCTTGAAATATATGTATTTACCTTTACTTGTATTTACCTTTAATTAGAAAACCACCCAAAACAGTTAATTCCTAGAGGAGAAACTTTATTTTGACTAAAGGGTTTCATTTCAACTCACTGTGCGTGCCACATAGCATTTCAACAGTCAAATTATTGCGGGGAAAGTTTGACTATTCCATTATTTCAATCTTTTACTAAAGTATCTTTTACTCGAATATTATACTTTTGTCAAACTGAAATATCTGGCTTTGTCGCATATTTTATTTCTGAAATTTTGGCAGTTGCGGGGTTTATTTAAAGACCTTCCCGATACCGCCTATGCTACCCAATTTAAATTTAGTACCGTGGGTCCCCATATCTAGTGCAGAGCCAAAAAAATATTGTGCGTGCTACACCCCAATGTCCTTATGCGCATACGACGGGTATGTATTCATACCAGGGACGGTAATCATTATGAGTAAAATAATTGTAATCAGCACTAAATCATTATTAAAAATTATTATTGAGCTTTATTTTTTCGCTCAACGGAAATAATTATCATTTGATTGTAAACCGACTTCAAAAAAGGGGGAGGTTATCAAATCGTCGGAGTATTAATTATTTTTTTTTTTTTTTTTTATGTATGTTACCGCATAACTTTGGACCACGTCAACTGACTTCGACAATTCTTTTTGCATCTCAAAGGTAGCGTCTCAGAGGTGGTCGCATACTAATCTAGTTTAGATCCGATAATTGGATCATGAAATATATATATATATATATATTTTTTTTTTTTAAATGGGAATTGAGGTCGGTTTTTTTACTTAAAAATTAATATTTTTTCGGTTACAAATAATAATTATTTTATGATTTTTATCTTTTCCATCAGAGATAATCATTATTTTTAGCCGACTTCCAAAAAAGGGGGAGGTTATCAGTTCGTCGAAATATTTTTTTAATTTATTTTTTATTTTACTATTTTTTGATTAATTTTATTTTTTTATGTATGTTACCGCATAACTTTGGACCGCGTCAACTGATTTCGATAAAACAAAAATTGGTTCCATTTAATCACGTATATTTTACGAACCAATTTAAAAATCTAAATATAAAATACGGTAAATGAAAGCCAATGAAATTCTCCATAAACCGTGCATACATCACTTTTCACTTATTTTTTATATTTTCTACCAAATTAATTAATCATTCCAGCTTGGTTTATTTTTTAATGAAAAAATGAAAAAAAAATCTAAATTTAACAGAAGAAAAATTAAAAAAATAACAGGTTCTGTTCCAAATTTTTGTATTTGTACGAAAGCATGTTCTGTAACAAAGAAAAATCAAGTTACTGATGAAGAAAATCGATGGATAAATACGAAACAATGAGTGGTCAAATAAAAATGCGCAAGATTATGTGTACAAAAATTGAGAACGAAATAATGTTACTCATACGCCGCCTACACCTAAGAATTACTAAGGGCCGCTTACTCAATGTCTGGTTAACGATAATTTCCGGTTAAACATAGTTATCGACGTTACCGACTCCCTGTTGTATGCATGGAGTCGTAGACGATATTTAACCGCAGATTTGTAACCGGCCCTAAGAATTACTAGCCTATCGACAGTCTTTGAGTGATGCCAATATTCGCGATAATAGTGAGGCTTGGGACTCCGTTCGGCAGTAAAGGTTCCCTACTTCGGTTTTGTGACAAATGGCAAAAGTTCGCCCCTGTAGGATTGGTAACAGCTAAGCATATTTTATATATATATATAATATATTATATATTATTATGTCGATTTGCCAAAAAAATATATAGTTATTTATAAACCTAATCTGCTATATAACTCAAAAACATGAAACTTTAAGTTGTGACCTTATTTCATAAGACCATCGATATATGGAAAGCGACAGCCCCATTTCGGCAAAATTGAGGAAAGCCAGCAATTTCATAAATCCCATTTATCCCGTTTTGTGTATTTTCATCAGTCAAGAATTTTATTAAGACCTTTATGGCTGATGATGTTGAACCGGCATACTATGTATAAATAATTTTAGTATCACGTCCCAGATTTCTAACAGGGTTTATGTATGCCAATACATGCATTTGCGTATTGGTTTATTTAGTGGGTTATTGAAATTGCAAAAGTTTGCAAATAATGAAAATGAATTCGTTTCCAAACACATTTATGTATGAGTGTATGAACAACTTTTTATGTACATACTATATAACCAATTAAAAAATATATGTATTAATACGTTTGAACTCGTATTTGCATAATAGTTAATTTTGTTATTTTCGGGAATTTCCTATCTTTTAATAATTCAGTTTAATTAAAATTCTGCCAATTATTTTCCAATCAAGTTGCAATTTCGAACAAAATTACAAATTTAACAAGTTTAAGTGGTTTCAACCAATCAACTATTACTATCAATTAACTTTAACAAAGCCCATTATGTTTTTTCATAAGTATTTATTTGTATGAAGGTCTAAAAATTAGCAATTAAATTAAAATTATTAGGAATTTAATTGGCTTTAACTCATTTAACGTTAAAAAACTACATGCTAAATTAAGAACAATTTATTAATAATAATAATAATAGATTGGCGCTTACACATATGTATGTTAGTGTTTGGCCGAGCTTCTCCTCAGAACAATTTATTATAAAGAATAAAAATCATTTTTATAAAACATTTTTTAAATGTTGTTGTTTTAATGCAATATATTCTAGTCTTAAAAGTATAGATAATAAATTTTTACAATCAGAACAAAATGCAAAAACTATCCTATTGAACGTAGGGCACACAGCAACACACATATAGCGCAACAGCAGTAACTGGCTGGTATAGGTATGTACATTATTTTGCTCAGGCTGACAGTATAGTGATGGAAGGTGGAAACAAACACGTTCAAAAGCAAAACGGGAAGGGGTGTCTGGGCTCCCACCTGAGCAAAGTAGTTGATGCTCTCTCTGTCTTTCTGGCGATAAATTCCAGCCTTGCAAAAATCCTACCTGCCCTAGAGAGACTTTAAATTTTGACACTAAAATTCTAGGTACTATATCTAACCGTTTATATATTTTAATCTCTACGGTGTAACAATACCTCTTCGAAGTTGACAATCCAACGCAGGATTGTCATAAAGGATTTTTTCATGCGATGCACAAATAATGAATTCTATGTTAACCCAAAGTTGAACAATGCAAACACTGCTTAACATCAAACACATTTTGCACCATGGAAGAACAAGATTTGTTTGGGACAAACGAAATCAGCATTAGTTTTTATAGGGAAATAGTATTTTAATCAATAACGTATGTATTTGTGTTGAAGGATTGTTTTCTTAATAACAAGAATAAATGAAATTAGTTAAAGGCATCAATTTTTTTATATTAATGCAAAAAAAAATTGTATTTTTTTTTTAATTAATCTTTTGGCTTATCCCCCGCAATTACGTGTAGTACCCTTTTTTTGTGACGGCGAATCACCTGTTTCATTAAAGCTGGGCAAATAAAACCACCAATATTATATAACTAACATCAAACGTGACCTTCATGTTAGTATCTAGAGTAACTGCAGTGTTAATAAAAAAAACGCCTACGGAAAAATTTACTTTTAGCCGCTTACGCTCTTTTGGCGGTTAGGGCTCGATAATGTAAATGAACGAGAAGACCCGTAGGTAGAATGAAGTGTTTTTATGAAAGAACGTGACTTTCACGCACCTCCTAAACTACAGACAACTTCAATTCTCTACTCCTCCTTTGGCGTTTAATCGCGTCGTGGTTCATTTGTAAACCGGAAGGTAAGAGTTGAGCCTTACAAAAAACGTCTTAAATTTTACTTAGCTAGTGCCTCTGCTTATTTGCATAGCAGCTGTAAGCGTGTTTTTTTATCGCCACACACTCTCACTTTGCTTCCGTTTTTTACTCGTTTATACATATTTATGTAAGTAAGTGCATGGAATACTCTTACATAGACTTACCCCTATTGCATCATTGTACAAACATAAATCAATGTCGACGTCAAAACCTACGTGCTTAAAAGTAGAAATGAAGAGATGGAATTATGTTGAAAGGTTTATGAGATTTTCCTGTAAGTGCTGAACTATGTATGAAAAGCTGTAAAGCAAAGAAAACTTGCAAATTGTGTTACTTGTGTAATTTCTAGAGCGTTGGCTTTTGTATGGGATTGTATATTCTTAAACATTGAGTTGAGTTGAGTTGAGTTGAGTTGAGTTGAGTTGAGTTGAGTT